TATTATTATACACAAACTAATCAGACGACCTTTATTAAAATCTAACTCTGATGTTACCTTACTTTTACATAACAAAATTACTAATGCTAACAAAATTGGAAGTCCAGTTTCTACACTAGTTCTTCAGCAATTTCTTGCTGAGAATGAGTTTATACTTTCTAAATAGCAGTTTCTTCATATATTATATTCTTTAGGCTATTATTATAGCCATGGTGAACATAGAAATATATTACACGAATCTCCAAATAATATAGCATTTCGATACCAATATAATTATAATCACTTATCAAATTTACAAAAAAAAAAGATATTCCAAACTATCCTGAAGTATTTTTGGATAAATCATATTGTCATCTTCATCATATAACATCTAGTACTTGGGTTTCTCATAAGGGTGTCGTCTTAGTACCAGGTCATAGACCACTTCTTATAATTTTTGAAGTGATTATTATTTTTTGTAATGACAATAAACTATATGGTGAGCTTGTTTCATACTCTATTAATATTTGGGATCCAACTATTAAACCACTACCTAATAAGAGGTGAAAATGATCTAATATAGAAGCTTAGAATAATATTTTGGATTTTATTAGAAATTCTAAAATTGTACCTGATCAAGTTGATTATCATGGCAATTTTAATGCTAAAATTTTTGAATCATTATTTACAAAATTATGTATTATGATTAAAGAAAAATATGATGAAACTGATATTCATATAGATAGTGCTCTTTATCATAAAAGGAGAGCTGAAAATATACCTACCTCTATCTCAAAAAAATCTGAACTTAGAAATTAGTTAATTAGCAAGAATGTTAGTGTTTCTGCTAATATACTGTATATAAAGCAGAACTTCTTGAGCTTGTACAATGATACAAAGAAATGATTCTATTTGCATGTATAGAAATCACTAAAGTGTATGGTCATAGAGTTTTTTTTACTCTACTATATCATTGTGAACTTTAACTAATCGAAGGTATCTGGGCAGTTGTGAAAAATAAAGTAGCGAAATCAGGTCCTTATACAAACCTATTTGAAATAAGAAATAAACTTCTTTGAGCTTTTAAGGAAAAGGTAAATTCTAAAGTTTTTATAGGTTTATGGTGAAAAACACTTAATTTAGTAAAGGAATATAAACAAAATGATCATAATGTATTATTAATTGATTAAGAAAATGATAGTGAATCTTCTTTTGAAAATTATATAGAATTAGATGAATAAAATCTTAATAAAATTTATATCAAAATGTTTCCTAAAACCTAGAAAATTTATTAGTAAAATTAAAATTTTAAATAAATTTTTATATAAAATTTTATTTACAATTATTTGAGGTATCTATCTTTTTGCATCAGACTATATTTTGTAAAAGATTGTAATAATTACAAATGTTGGCGTTGTAAAGGAGATAATCATTTAGCAAAAAACTGTAGTCAAACTTATGTTTATTATATTGATTAATATATTTTTATTATTTTATTTTATCTATTATTTATTATATAATAAATCAAATCTAGTTAGTATCTAAATATGATACCAACTAGAATTTTACATATATAAAACAAAAAAAAATATTAATTTAAATAATAATCAAGATTCAGAACGACATTTTATCGTATATTCTTAAGTAATATACTATTGAATGTCGTTCTGAATTCTGATATTGAAATATTAAATATCTAGTTAGTACAAATGTACCAACTAGAATTTTTTATACGTAAAACAAAATGTCAATTAAAGATCAATTTTCTTTTGATTTAAAAATGATTATTAATTTATACGAAGATAAATTACTTTCATATGGTTTAATGCAAATTTTTTTTGAAAAATATCTTAGTCTATTCAAAAGATATAAAATTTATATTCATGATATTAAAAAAGTTGATTCGGATTTAAAAATTTACCAATTACTTATAGCTTCTACAGTGTTAGAACAGAAAATTGGATTATATAAACCTAATAATCCTTTAGCTCTTGAATTATTCGAATTAAAATATATGAATTAATCTTATCTAGTATGAATAATACCAGATAAGAATTTGATGATGTAAATTTCTTTAATGAAGTTCACAAATGAATTAATTCAACTTTTGGATAATATTCGAGATAACATCTTTCGTTTATTGTTGATATATTTAGTTTTATCATTCAGTAAATTTTTTTTTGAACGATATTTTTAAAAAAAAAAATCAAAAATGGATAATTTTCTTATTGAACATAAAAAGATTTGTTCTTTGTATATGAAAAATTTACTTTCAAACAAACAAGCTCAGATATATTTAAACAAATATAATTATTTGTTTAATATATACAAAATTAATCTTTATGGTATCAATATAATCAATTCAGATTTAAAAATTCAACAATTAATATCAGCTTCTACTTTGTTGAAATATAAAATTAGCTTAAAATAATTATTTATTCTAGTTAGTATAAAATGTACCAACTAGTATTTTGTTGACGTAAATATGACTCAACAAAAAATCCTTATTGCAATCGATGGTCAGACAGCTACAGGAAAATCTTCAGTTGGAAAAGAAGTAGCTGAAAGACTTGGTTATGAATTTATCGATAGTGGACTTTTCTATCGATATTTTGCAAAGATCTTTTATCGATTTACAAATGAAGAATTGATTGAAAAAGTAAAAGATTTGAAACAAGAAATTATTGATGAACCAAAGAAATATTTAAAAAAATTGAATAGTTTGTTTGATCTTAATAAGGATGATTTTTTGAAATATGGAAAACGAGCTTCAGAGATTGCAAAATATAATGAGCTTAGACAAGAGATTAATGAAATTATAAGAGAGATGACAAAAGGAAAAGGTTTTGTTGTTGTTGGTCGAGATACTACAACGAATATATTACCAAAAGCTGAATTAAAGATGGTATTAGAAGCAGATTTTGTAAAACGTCTTGAACGAAGAAAGGATCAATTTAATTTATCAGATGATAGTTATTTTGATATAGGAAAACTTTTAAATGATATGATGGATAGAGATAAAAAAGCTTCTTTACTCATTAATGAAGCTGAAAAAGTATCTGTCAAGATTAATACAACAGATCTTGAATTTGAACAAGTAGTAGATAAAGTAATTTCAATGATAGTTTGGCGTGTATTTCATATTAAATATGATAGATTCTTTAAAGTTTTATTTATTTTTATTATCATTTTTATTTATAAGATAGTAAATATATATATCTAATCAGTATATTCAATACCGATTAGATTTTTAAAAATGTAATAATTCAAAAAAAAAATGTCAAAAAGAAAAAGTGAACAACTTGAAGAAGTTAATGAAGAAGAACAAAATAGTTCTTTGTTATTAACTGAAAAAGTTGATAAAAAAAAGAAAACAAAAAAAGTTAAAAGAGAAAAATTTAAAACTAATGAATTGAAA